CAGCATTGAGAGCTGCTGGCAGTGGTGAGGAAACCATCAGCAGTACAATACTGCAGCCCATCTCTGAAGGTGTGCGACTGCGAGGGATAGACTGAGAGTAGACGGAAGTCCTTTTAAGTGGCATTACAGAAAGCTCCCAATTCATACAAGCTTATTAGCCGGACATGTGCTGTGCTCTGTTGGAGGCATATGGCGTTTTAACATGGAACACGGTCAGGTCCCACGGCGCCGGTGTGCCTCTGTAGGGTTACAGTTCTGTCAGTCACAGCTACCCCCAAATCAACTCGACCGCCCCTAAGAAGTGTCAGTCAAAGCCAAGCTGTGTAAAACTGCTGACACAATATCAAAGTGCCCTCTGCAGATGTCATATTTTGATTCATTTTTACATGAACAAGAGTTTTCGGGGTCTTAGAATATGAACGCCAATGCCTTCTTTCGAAATAATCTATTATTCATGTATTTCAATAGTGGGAGAAATGCATGTAGCTGAATGCTTTATTTTTAAGATCAGTAAAAGAATTGAAATGATTTGTCAGAAAACAAACAGAAATAAACCCACAGCAGCTGCCTTTGTAAAATACTATAGGCCTATTACCTCAGCCACAAGCATCTTTTTCCATTGTGTTCCGTCAATGTCTCTTCTGGTGGAGTTTAAGTCATCCTTAGGGGGAAATGTTGCATCAAACCAACAAAAGGCATGCTGACAAAAGTTCCCCCAACTCCAAAGGGATTCTGTGCTAAAATATTTATACAGCTTTCAAGTGTTTGATGTAGACACACAACTGGAGTCAAATGACTGTTCTTGGCGAGAACAGAGTGTAAAAACAGAGTGTAAATCAGGGATACAAGGGGAAAATCCTGTGTTTTGTTCAAGGGAAACAGAGCACACATTTCCCATTAACCCATGCATTTATCACAGCTAGTTCAATGATATGGCGACCATGATTTTACCAAGTCTGAAATGTTCCTGGATCAACATTCCTGCAACAACATGCTTTAAGAGATTATAGTTTTTATTGAGATTTTATTTTGATTTTGTAATGTTTCTTTTTAAAGAAATCTCTTATGCCAATTATGGCTGCATTCATTTGATTAAAAATACAGTAAAACAGTAATATTGTGAAATATTATTTGTCTGAATGTATTTGTGATGGCAAAGCTGAATTTTCAGCATCATACTCCAGTCTTTAGTGTCACATGATCCTTCAAAAATCATTATAATATGCTGATTTGGTGCTCAATAAATATTTCTTTCTATCATCATCATTTAAATAATTTGTGCTGCTGCATATGTTTTGTGAATATAGGGTTACAATTATTTTTTATACAAATGCTCTAGGAACAGGTAAATGTCTTATGACAAAATCATGTTTATCTACCATATATGATATTTCTATGAAAAATTAAAATCCACACTTCTGAACATGGTGATGTTTATTATATTTTAAAATGCAACACACTATTCTGCCAGGATGTAAATCTTATGATGTCAGTTAATTTATTAGTGAATACACTAAGATGACATTTATTTTACTGCCTCACCACTAATACAGTCCTTGTCTTGTGGTACATTGACATATGCAGTATGACTTTGATCAGTGCCTCTTATACCAGGATGAATTTTATGGATGGCACGAGGAGACAGGGCAAGTCCAGTTTGGCGCAGTGTAAGCATTATTGTATGTCATGGTTGAGATTGCTCATTCTCAGTGCAGCCAAATGCAGTTATGCTGTAAGTGATGGAGCCAATAGAAACCCTATTCACCCTGGTACACACACAAACAAGAACAAACATCATGTCCTTCCTTACTGCTGCCTGCACTGAATAACCTTTAGAGGTGCACTCTAGTTTTTTCTGCACTGTTACATATAAAAGCAAGAGCACTTTTTAAAAATGTTTACAGTGATGTACACTCACATGAGCGATTCCATGTCTTATCAGTAGCATATAAAAAGTTGCTTTGTTTTACACTGAACCCATTGCCTGTTAACATATTCAACTTGCAGGACCAGCCGAACAGTCATTCTTTCTCTGTAAACCTCTATTTTTGGACACGTTTGCAAGGGGAATAATACATCAATTAATAATGGCTTATTGAGAATAGTGCATTTCTACAATGACATTAATAAAACACATTTCCTTTTGGATGTATTTGGGCTTATTTCCAGAACACAGCCATGAATTTACAAGCTTGCTGTTCCCATAGCACAATAACCACTAATAGCAATTGTGAAATATCCCCACCTGCTGTTTGAACTGCACTTTACATAATGTCATAATTTCCCATTCCCTTCACTCTCCAAAAGGTAAATGATTAATGTTTTTCCTCTTTTATAGGTGATATATACTGTGTATATATATATATACAGTTTATATATAGGCCTATATTTTTTGTAAAAAGTAGGGATGTAATGATTCACTCAACTCACAATGCGATACGATTCACGTTACGATTTTTTTTTTTAACAAAATGAGATTTAAGATAAGTTATAAATGAAAATGTTTTTTTTATTATTATTGCTTGGACAAAATGCTGAACATTTCTTTGTGAAATAATAATAATAAATGTTAAAACAAACCCCAAATCTAATAAATAAATAACACAAAAAAAAATCTCTTTCCATTCAGTTAGAGGCAACCATTGTATTTTAATCATGACCCAAACAAAGATGCTGCATGAGCAGTTTTTAATCTAAATTAGACTGTATAATTTTGAGATTTGAAGCTAAAATAGAATGGTCTGAATTTAACTCTGAAATTATGCTACAGACGGGCTGAATGTTTTTTTTTATTTTCAGTGAAATCAATGTAATATATGTTTGTTTAATAATATTTTTTCTTTTGTATTTTGAGAGAATTTAATGGTGCTATTTAATATGAATGCAATAATTATGATACATTTTTCCCATTGAAAACAATACACATTTTCTTCTAATATTTTTCTATTACTTTTCAATTATGGCATGTATTTCATGTTAAAATAGAGACAATGCCTTTAAAATCCAATTTTTGAAAGCAGATTAGTTCCATCCGGTGGGAGTAAAAAAAGAAAAACATCTGAAATTCCATGTTTTAGCCACTTGATTCCTATAATAGAGCTCTATATAAAAGGCTTATACATTCTCTAGTTGTTTTTAGACAGAAATACTTTTTTTTAAGTTGTGGATTTGGATTTATATTTAGACTTTCTCAAAGACAACTTTTTGTAAAAGCTTAGTTTTTTTTTTTAAATGTTTGTTTGAAATGTCAGTTTTTGCATTAACTTCTTATCTGATTCATCTGGCTCAATTTTGCCATATTGTAACAGCCACACCAGTTCATTTGGTGTTTCTGTTTTGTACTCTTGATATTTTAGAGTGTCACCCCTTCATTGGTGTGCACTTTTTTCTGCATCGTGAATGATTTGTATATTGTACACACACAAAATTCTCAGTATTTTCGTATTTTTGCATATTTCCTTTATACAGCATTGTGGCTGAAGTGTCTGGTTTGTACACTTGATATTTTAGAGTGTCACCCCTTCATTGGTGTGCACTTTTTTTTGCATCGTGAATGATTTGTATATTGTACACACACAAAATTCTCAGTATTTTCGTATTTTTGCATATTTCCCATTCATTTCCAATGGCGGACCGCAAACACCACAAGTGTGACTACTTTTTTTTACGACTATTTAGCTTTTTCGAATCAAGTCCACGATTTTTTTTGTGGTCACATAGTGACTGCCATAAAAGTCAGCGAGTTTCGTACCATTACGATGAAGTAGTGATTTTTAAAATAAAAAAAAAATTAAATAAAAATTCCGGTCTAAAATGACCGAACAATACCAGAGGGTTAATATGCATTATACAGAGTCAAGATGAAAAGAAAATATCATAAACATTTCTAAAGACAGTCAGTTCCCCTCAGAGATACACTTATATAAACTACTACCCCCAACTGTATCGCGATTCGTTTAATATCTCAACTGTCACATATTTGTATCGATTTTCAATCGGCGATCGGTGCATCGTTACACCCCTAGTAAAAAGATATAATTATTGAATATTGAAGACATTTTATTTGCAGAAAGATGCAATTTCCCTTGTTTATACACATATTTTTTTTGCATACTTATGTATACAAAAAAGGAAGCATTTTAGAGTATAAGGTCAAACGTCAACTGTCAGCCAGACTACAGACTGTAGGAGACTATAAATAGCTTGGCCTAGTGGAAGGATAATCAGCTGTTGTTGCAGTTGTATTGTTTTTTTTGTTGTGACTCTGCTCTGACTTTAGTGAGAAGTTTGACAGGGTGTGTTCCTGTGGTTATCATCAAAAATGTATGGGAGAGTCTTTAGGTATGAGTTTCGTGTCAGCGATGTCTCATACAGTAGCTACTATGGCAGACGTGTACATGGAGACGTATTGGCACCACGTTTGCTTTCATGAGGAAGTGCATTCTTGTCCAAATATTAGCTCACGCTCAAGTGTCCATTCACCAGCAAATGTTTTGGATAGTTAGTTAACCAGTTATGTTAAGGCCTTCAGCTGTTTAGACAATGCAGTAAATATATATTTTTTTATTAAACTGATTTATTATTACGTATATTTAATTATAAAAGTAGGCTATGTGTCTGGTGAAGAAAAAACTTTTTGAATTATAATAAAAATGGGAGTTATTATATTTATTTTAAAATCAATATTTTTATGAGTGCTCTGAAATATAAACTAAGACAGTCAATGTAGACACTTTTTTAAGTGGCTCTTGCATACGAACTATCACTGAACATCAATGAACTACTAATAACATACTTGGGTTACAAAAAAATCTATTAAAATAATACAAATTAATAATATTCCAGGTTAATAATAAATGTTCCAGGTACATTTAAAGACATAAAAGTCCATGCTATTTTATTAGACCTGCCCATGCGCGCGCAGGTCACAAAAAGTGTGAGTATTAAAGCGTAAACAAAGCACCTTTACACTGTTTTTGTCAGCAAGGAGCCAGCACGACTTTCTCAGCATATCTAGGACTCAAGAAAAAATGTTTAATCCGCAAGATATGTTTTCTCAGTCGGATATTTTTGGCTGGGGAACACGTAGGGTTTATAGACATGTTTAACCTGACTAAAATGATCCCTAATCTCGTGCTATTGTCATTTAAACCATATGCTATACTGTTCGCCTAACGTTACTTGTACCTGCCAAAAAGCTCAAATCTGTGAAGACAGTTGTCATGACCGCAGTACAACAACAGATGTCCCCCGCAGTCTGGCTTTAATACAGATCTTACAAGCTAAGGTAAACAAGTATCCAACTGTTTCAGAATGTGCGTGTGATTTGCGGGAATGTTAATCTGTGCAGTTTTCAAAGTGTAACTCGATCTGTGTGACTACACGCATGAAGTTACACTCTTACAGAATTGGCTTTGCTTGCATAAAAAGTAGAATTTCGTGGGCGACATCTGTGCACTCCCAGCATCTACATCCCGCCTGATTAATGATGGCCTCTTTCTTTTCTGTCGGCTTATAACTGGGACAAAGACTTTCTCCAAGTTTGGCCTGCCCCTTTAACAGCAGTTAAGCCCTAGTGGTGATTATCGGACTGTCCGATTCCCTGGAAACTCTGCGGCGCAGCTCTCACTTTTAACGGGGATCATGGCGGCTCCGCTCGGGCGGGACACACTACCTGAGCACTGGTCCTACGGAGTGTGTGGGGATGGCAGAGTCTTTTTCATCAAGTAAGCAGTCTTTGAAGGGTTTAACCGCAGTCGTTGCATTTCATTGTGGTTCTGGTGAATCCGCACCTTTCCCGATGGGTCTCGTAACAGGTGTTTCTGTGTTCCAGCGACAAAACTCGCGGCACTACTTGGCTCCATCCCCGCACTGGTGAACCTGTCAACTCAGGACACATGATACGATCAGGTACGGTAGTAAACTATGCTGGCTAGTCTAAACTTTGCATCCTTAGTCGGATACTGCGGTAAGTGTGTTTAAAGTGACCAGTGGAAACACGTCCTCTGCATAATTGATGGTGGGCTACTTTCTGTTTCATTAAAAACTTAATGGAGCTTTGTACAAATATTTCTCTCCCCTTAGATTTACCGCGGGGATGGGAAGAGGGCTTCACCGAGGAAGGCGCCAGCTACTTTATAAAGTAAGCGATAGTAAGAATTTCTGTTTTTGTCCTTGTGAGACCGTGAGGATGCGAGTGCAACTGCAAAGCCCTCCCCAACGAGCGCTCACTCACTCCCGCCTCTTGCAGTGATCAGTGCCCGCTGTCTGCTCGTACCTTCAAGAGTCAAGAAAAGACATAACTGAATCAGTCAGAGGTTTGATTGAATGTTTACTGCCGATTTGCTCTTCAGTAGTTTATGTGAGGCAATGACATTGGACAACTGATTTCCAGCTATCAGTCTGCTTGACCGTTGGATTGTCCAGTTAATTGTCTAACCAGTGATCCATCTGATTGTCATTTATTTATTCATCAGTGGTCAAGGTCAGTATATTTATATTAAACAACTAGTGTCTACCAAAGTGCTGTACATTAACAAATAATATAGATACTATAAAGAAGTAAGGAAATAAAAGAGAAAGACAAAAACAACAACGAATAATCCATAACAAAAGTTAGTACACATTACAATACATAAAATACCATTCATCCAAAAGCCAAGGAACAGGAGAGCACACATACACATTGACAGCACAAATGCACAGAAAAAACAACAAAGGACAGGAGCGATGGCAGGCCAACAACCACATTGGCACAATCTTGGATCAAAAATGAGTGTGGCCTCATTTTAAATATCCATATCCATCCAAATATATCTGTCGATGTATCTATCCATATATGTATCTAAGCCATCATTGATTGTTACATTTCTGTGACAAATATGATTTTTGCATTTCGATTTGCTCCAAACAAAAAACACTCCTCAGCTGTTGTATTAGATACATTCTCTCAGCAGTTAACAATTTTTTGTAATGTAATGCCCAGGTAATATAACACACAGCATATCTGTTCAATATTCTTTTACAAATGAAAAAAACTAAATGCTAGTCTGTCTATGTCTATCTCTCTGTTTGCACATCCAGTAATCTGTCAGAATCGGTCTATTCGTCAACATCCAGCTCTACCATGTTCAGCAGGTGAGACTCATAGGCAGATAGTGAGCAGCAGAAGTGAGATGAAGTGGACTGTGGCAGGGAGAGAAGTACTACTTAAGGAGCTGCCTGGAAAAAATTAGCTGCGAGGACACTAATCATTTTCAATGACAGTGGCAGGCAGAACTTTAAGAGGATGCAATCCCATAAAATTGGTGTGAATAAGCGTGAGAGTGTTGAAGTACTGTGGTCAGTGCTGCTGTATAGAATGTTGCCTGTATCGCCTGCATATGATAGAATGTGTGGCTTGGCACAGCCAATTAGATGTCATAAACATTGCAGCAGCTCCCTAAGTAATGTTTCCCAATATAATTCCGTACAATTGTGATAAATACTTTTGTATTAACGAACCAGCTCATGCTTTGAAAAATGATTTCCCCTTTTATGAAATTTCCCCAATTAGTTCACTTGGATGACATCAGACTTCAGTTTATAATTGCAAGGAGATCTGATTCTGTTTGATCTAAGCTATGTGATGACAAAGAGCGCTTTATTGTGACAGCTAGCAGAATCTTTCACCATTGTCTTTGTAGCAATGCTAGTTAATTATATAGAGCCCTCACTACTGTTTACAGTCACCCATGTAGCCCATTATCTCTTCTGTGCCCACTTAATGGAGGAAATAAAGGGCATTGGCCAGCAAGACTGGATGGGTTTTCCCATTAAAATTCTTCTCATGTACGGTCCTTAACCTTTCCCGTTCAGCGGATGTTGTGCCCTGTCTGTACGTGTATGTGCGTGTGCCCATATGCCCGTGGAATGACTGAGATGTATGGTACGATCACACAGCCAATTCATGGTGGCTTTGCTCTCCAAAGTCACTTTATCCATTCAGCTCCACTAATGCGGAAACCGCAACCAGACCACCATCATTATGGCCAATGTATCATTCACCGTGCTTAATTGTATGACCTGTTCCATCTGAGATTTACTGTAAGAATGTATTTGCCTGACAGAGTATTAGTTTGTTTACAGTACTGCAGTAAATCATTTGCATGCTCTGGCTTGTTTAATTAAATTAAGAAATAAACCCGACAGCTGCCAGTAAGCAACCAATGTAATTGCACTTTATGCTGCACAATGCCATATCAACAAACTAATTTAGGACAGCAGGAGAAAATGAGAGGCAATGTGAAGCTACTAGCTACGATTTTTCCCCTTACGGATTTGTCTGAATTTTAAAGAGCCTGTTTTTGCTTCTGCACAATTGTCATGCAATGACGTTCTGCAGGATTGCAGTGAAAACAATGTTTACTTGTGGCTTATTTTCAGTGTTAGCTTTGGAGAGCCCTTAAATTCATTCACCAGAGTAAATTTAAATGACATAATCCTTCAATGATGGAACAGGGCTGTTGTGGATTGTTCTATTGGACGGAGCTTTTGGTAACCCAGTTTTATTATTAAAATTTCTTTGTGATGTATTGTTCCTCTGTATTACTCATAAGTTTTATCCAACTCATCGCACACAGATGCCTAAATATCAGGCAGTCACTGCATCTGACAAATCTGCCTATGAGAATATCATGGCAATCACCCAGTTATCTCAAAGCGCCACCAATGTAGCCCATGCAATCCGGAATGCATTAGTGTCTTGCTCTCTGCTTTGCATCTAAATAGCACCACTTTCCCATAAAGCTGTTTATTTGTAGTTCAATGCTCCACTGGTGTCTGACCAGAAAACTGCGTCTCGTCAAAGCTGCTATAGTGACAGGGAGTGTTTTAAAGGCCAAAGAAAATTATTTTAGAAATGTGTTATTGCTGACAGTTTTGACATGTGAAGGGACTCATTGTGCTGCATCTGGGCACAGCCAAATACTGAACAGCTCAGAGGCCTTAGAGAGCTGAAATGTCAAGACTGTAAAGTAATGCACTTATTTGTGGGCTAAATTACATTACTATTCCTGTTTTGATCCTGTTAGACATTGTCTTTGTGTTATTTTGTGTTAACGGGCTAGAAAAGGGAGCTGATTGTTATTTTAGTTAAAGAATGCTAGAATAGAAAAGGTTTCCTATTCCTGCCTTTTTAGGTATGGTGAGTGCCTTCCAGCCCTTTAATCTGTCCATTTTGTGGTTTAAATTGCATTGCTTACTGTCTGTGGTTATTTGACTCACTTATGCCAAAGAATTTAGCATGCACCATTTGTGACAAGACTGGCAGTCGTAAAGTGGCTGTGTGCGTGTTCCCTCACTTCAAACTTTGAGAATAATTTTTTTCTTTTATCCTCTTGTAATTTTAAAAATCAACATTAATGGCTATAGACTGCAAATAGTATTGAGTACTGAATGTTGTTAAATGTGGAGCTGTAGGGAATAGGGAGAGAGTGATGCTTAGACTGTCCTCGAGACAAAGTATGCTTGGGTTACATTAGGCACTCTTAGAAACCATAATTTCTGCTGATGTGATTATTATTTTTGTGGTTCATGAGGGACTGCTCTGTATCCGGCATACTGGATTATTATCCAAATTATATTTGATATACTGCAGGCTTGAATTATGCCAAACATTTAATAAGTCCCATAAAATGTATAGCTAATGGATTTACTCTGTGTCTACCCATCCCACATTCATCTAATTAAGTGATATGAATGGAGGGAAAGCATCTCAGATGTTCCCACTCATTTTGAGACATTGCTGCCGATATAGAGGCACATGTTCTCCATCACTGAATGCAGGAGACTGAGGGTGGATCCTGAGCTGACCTTTAAGAGAGATCATTCAGGTGCCTTTTCCAGTCTGATAAGGTGTTTTCAAGTGAATTTTAAGCAGATTTTAAACATTCTGTTAGTGTTAATATTGTGCAATCTCAAATTAATATATTTTAAGATCTGTTGGAATGTAATTATACACAACAACCCTTGTTTTTTCTATTTAATCTTCATACATTACGGTTTAAGTAGTGTTTGGGGTCAGTAATGACAGTAAAGGCACTTACCTTGTTAATCTCCCTTTCTCTCTTTATATGTACAGTGGGTATAGAAAAGAATCACCCCCTTTAAAATAATCACATTTTGTTGCTTTGCAGCCTGAATTGAAGACAGATTGTTTTATCCAGCTGTATTTACTCAGTGCAACGTATTACATCCAAGTGAAAGATATAATACCAACATGTCAGAACAAAAAACAGAATCACTGAGTTGGAAAAAGTATCACCCACTTGTGTCAGTATTTTGTTTAACCACCTTTTGCTTTAATTACAGCCTTTAGTCTGCTGGGATATGTCTCTACTAGCTTTGCACATCTAGACTAGGGCTGGACGATATGGCCAAAATATATATCACGATATATTTCTTAATTTCGGTCGATACGATATAATTCCGATATCGATATGAACACTATTAAAAAAGCATCATAAAAACGGCCAAGAACGGCCACAACAGATGTCTGTACCTACGAACTTATGAAAAATTAATTTGCCAACTCTATGAAACCTACTCCTATAAAACTATATAATATTTTAGGAAAAAAATGGCGCAAATAAATAAATATTCACCTTTTCTCTGATATTGTTGATATTTTTTACTTCAAACTATAGGCTAACATACCAGTCAAAAGTTTTTGAACAGTAAGATTTTTAATGTTTTTTAAAGAATTATCTTCTGCTCACCAAGCCTGCATTTATTTGATCCAAAATACAGCAAAAACGGTAACATTTTGACATATTTTTACTATTTAAAATAACTATTTTCTATCTGAAAATATAATTTATTCCTGTGATTTCAAAGCAGAGCTTTAGCATCATTACTCCAGTCTTCAGTGTCACATAATCCTTCAGAAATCATTCTAATATTCTGATTTGCTGCTCAAAAAACAATTATTATTATGATGTTGAAAACAGCGGAGTAGATTTTTTTCAGGTTTCTTTGATGAATAGAAAGTTCAGAAGAACAGCATTTATCTGAAATAGAAATCTTTTGTAACATTATAAATGTCTTTATCATCACTTTTGATCAATTTAAAACATCCTTGCTAAATTAAAGTAATAATTTCTA